TTGAGGATTCTGCTTCTATTTGCAGGCCATGCCCTGTTCGCACGTCAAGCTCCAACCGTGAGCTCACACCCAACACTCGCCCATGTTCGGAGGCCCAATTCACATTCAAATGCCCCGCCTCATTCACACGCTGAGCTCCATCCACAACCTTACACCCACTCTATCCATGTCCTAAGGCCCAGTCTTCGTCCAAACACCCCGCCCCATCTGCGACCTTGCACCCATCTACATACGCGGCCTCATGCCCAGCACAGTCCACACGCTCAATTATGATCTCTCACCTATCTTTTGGAAGATGTTGAAAAAGCCAAATAAAAAATTATTGAATTAGTCCCAATGATGTGAGATCATCTCGAAGCCTAGCAAGACAAATCCTCCTAGTAAGTGTGCTATGGCACGAAAGCATGGCATGAGTGAATGCTCCATTTGGAAGGTGTGGTATAGTAGAGAGAAGATCCTTGAATGCTCTAAATTGATGTCTGAAGAACCAACAACAAAAAAAAAACATTTTGATCGTTTGTTGGTTGATTCACAAAGGTTGAAGATATGCTATTCATTTGGATTGATAGTATGCACCTTGTTAATTTATTTATACCGCCCTCTCTCACCATTGCCAAAGTGAAAAATATTGCCTCAACTCTTTCAATTTAAAATGCAGATTTTAAAGCATCTTGGCAATGATTGAGCCAATTCAGAGCACATCAATGTTTGCAAACGATGCTCCTTCATGGAGAGGGAGAAAAAGTCAACAATGATGATTGGAGTTGTTGGCAATGTTAAAGGATTTATACATGATTATTGAGCAATATGATCCTGAGAATGTTATGTGAAAATTGCCTGGGATTCAATAGCGCCAAGTTGATAAAAAATTCATTTATCAAGGTAGAGATAATGACACTAGAAGCAGATATTGATGCGGGTGATAAAGATGATGATTTGTGCACCAATATTCTTCAAGCCATGGAAAATTTAAATATTTCTATGGATCATACAAAATTGGAAGATTTCATTTATGTCGATAATGAAAATAATGAAGAATGCGCTGCTACCATATTGGAAGATATTGAAGAATTTTTGGAGTCAATGAAAATTATTGAGATTGCTAGTTCAAAAAATATTGTTGCAATTCAGGGCTTTAAGTCTTTCCATAATCAAGTTTTTAACTTAGAGGAACAACTGCTCTACCCTGAGGTACAAGAAGACGGTGGAGAAACTTTTGATGATCTTAGAAAATAATTTGAATGGTTTTAGAGAAATATGCAGGCGAAAACCCTCATTGTAAGATGTAAGAAATTACAAAACTTACGTCAAATGACCATTCATAAAAAGTTTAAGTTATAAATGTTGAACCCTATATTTTTGCTAAAATTTTGTATACTTAACTAGGATGCGTACTTAAACGGGTGTGTACTTAAGTTGAGGTTATTGTATTTAATAGCTATTTGTAAAATTATTTTCAAAATTTAACACATTTATGTTTAACTAAATTTTAATTTATAAAATTTCAAAAATCCTATTAAAATTAAATCCTAGCCAAACCACCCTAAGGGGCTATTTGGTATCGGATTTTCGTCAGATTTATAATAAATCATGCCAAATAATTATCGAGGGCTCCGTAAATCCTGATCCTTAATAAATCCTAGATTTACAAAATTATGATGTAAATATGGGATTTAGTAAATTCCTATGTTAAGCAAATTCAACAAGATTTATGCTCGCAAGAACTCTCTCCCATGACACCTCGTGTCGTGGAGTAGCTGTGAACGCCCTCATCTTGCTTCTCAATTTCTCGATTGAAAGTTCGAATATGTTGTTAGACCTAAAGATTTGCCCCAAGGCTAACTAAGAGGGGAGTGAATTGGTAATTTAATCAATTCTCTTAGAAATTTAGAAAAATCGATTTTAGATTTTTTCACAATGACAAATTTTCTCAAAAATATTTTTCCAACCACAAAATTAAAACTTGCATAAAATAGAAATGCAGAAAAAGTAAAGATAGAAAAATACATAATTTTATAGTGGTTCGATACAACTAGACCAATGCCCACTTCTTGAAGATTCAAGTATTATGCTATACCATATTGACTCTCTTTTTTCTTCCATAGTATGGTAGAGAAGCCCTTACAATAACATCTCTTCCACCAAACCCTAGTGCGGCAGAGTATTGTCATCCTTTCTCACCCTCCTAGTGACAACAGAGAACCGTCATTCTTTCACACCCTCTTGGTGTCGACAAAGTACTGGCATCCTTTCACATTCTCCTGATGTCGGTAGAGTACCATCATCCTTTTCACACCCTCATGGTATTGACAGAGTACCGACGTCCTTTCACACCCTCTTAGTATCGGTAGAGTACTGGATCTTCTCCAAAGATCTTCTCTCAAGAGACTTCAAAGAAGTAGAGAAGAGATTCAAACTTACAAAGAGATCCTCAGCTTTGGGCAACCTTATGAACCTTTCACAATTTCCACTAGTTAGATCTCTCAATCATCACTCACAAACTCTCCCAAAGCAATCTCACTCTCACTCCCAAGAGAAAATTCGCAAAAGAAATATGTTCAGTTAGTTTTTAGGACCCTTGTAGAGAAAGGACATGAAAAATAGTATAGAAAACTGAAATTTCAATTTGACCGCCTTGGATCATATAGTACAATCATACTTCATACATACGAACAGTTCAAAAAAATCCTTGTACTAACCTGGACGAACTGATTTCGTACCCTATCAGTCGTTTGTATTAACTGACATCATATAGTACAAATAATTCAAAATTGAACAAGTTCGACCAGTACAATTTCGTACGAACTCATTTCTTACTCTGATCATCGTCTGTACGAGCCCAACATCATATAATATGAATTGTTTATATCAAATCATGCTTCGTATGGTACGAACATGGACGAGTCCATTTCATACTATGGACGTCATTTATACGAAACCAATTTCGTACAATATGAACATTTCAAAAAATTTACCTGTTCGTAATGGACGAATTGGCACACACCTATTTCATATTCTGGACGTCGTCTATATGAAACTCATTTCGTACAGTACGATTAGTTCATAAAATGATGAGTTCGTTCAAGATGAACTGATACATATCCATTCCGTACTCTAAACATCGTTTGTACGAACCAATGTTCGTACAATACGAACAGTACAAAAGAATTTTTCAAGGCATGATTCGATTAATTTCTTTATAGAGGAACACTTAGGACAAATCTCTAGTATGCTTCAAGAATCGTATATTATGATTATTTTTAAAAATATAAATTTTGACTTACTCCCCCAATGTGTGCACGGCTACCCAATTACAATCACATTCTCTCAGACTCAAGAGAAGAGAAAAAGTACATACTTCATTTACAAGAAACTCTAATCTAATATGTCTTGAAGTCTTCGGCAGTCTGAAATATGATTTCTCTAAAACATTAATACACACAAACAACACAAACAAAATTTTCCCAACATGTGTTAGGAGAAACAGTAATCAACACAATAATATTTTGGTATCATAAAAAACTCACATGATATAAAAGCATAGATTTGAAAACTAAGTCGCAACATTGACTGCCACCCCAATGTCTTCCTCTGTGATTCATCTTCATCCGTAGTCGCTGTGAGCAGGGTTTTCTTGTCGCATAGGTAATGTGAAGAATTATGTTGGTCTAAAATGGGCAGTTTAGTTTGGATACATAATTTATTGACACCTCTAGTTAAAACTTTCAACCAACAGATCAAGAAGAGTTGCATATAAGAATTGAGCTTTTATTGAATACTTGAGCTCTGACCGATAGTAGGAATTACCTATAAGATATGAAGCTTAATACATGGAGTGAAAACAATAAGATTAAGCCTTACACGAGAAAATATTAGAAGTTATGTGAAATATGGTAATAGTAATCAGACTTTAATTCTTAAGATATTGAAATATATGTGAATTATCTAAAATAATAGCAGACAAGCATGGCAAAGAAAAGGGATCAAATTCACTATCAATAAGGCATACAAATATATAAATGAGTCTAACAAGAAACTACCTTAAATTTAAGTAGTACATCTAATCTAATTAGAAATAAGAAATTTAAAATCTCGGATGTTAAATAAATATAGAGTTTTATGAAAATTTTCAAAAATACAAACGATGTCAAATAATGATATTGAAATTTTACTAAAATATCTTCATTTGATGCAACCCAAAGAAACTTCTTCTTTAGGTTGATCTCTATTTCTAAGGTTTTATTCGGGATGACTTTTCTATTGTTTCTTAAATCATATTTTTAATAAATTTTTTTAATTTTTTAACTAAAAAATAGTTTTAAAATTATAAGAAAGCTGTTTCAAACGAAGGCTTCGTTTGAGACAGTTTTTTTTTGCTTCTTAAAGCAGCTTTCTAGTATAAAATTAAAAATATATCTAATTAACTTAAATGATATAATTTGAAATATAAATAAATAATTAGATAGTTAGTAATGTAAATATTAATGAATTAATTAATAATGGAATGTTAAAGTGATTAATGAGATAATTAATATTATAAAATTTTATTAAAATAACACTTAAAATTCATTAAAGAATTAATAGTGTAAGTAGTAGTTAAATAATTATTTTTTTTAATAATGATTAAATAATTACCATTGCAATTAATATTCAACTTGAATTTATGATATTATATGCACTTATCTTGCATTTATAGCTATTATATTGATGCAATTAAACATAGCTTTTTTATATTTAAATCTCTAAGTGTCATAAATTTTAAAATATATTATCAAATAATTTATCAAAATTTAACATTTTATCATACCAAATAATTTTTGGAATTTAACACCCTTTTAAATTTAAAAAATCTAAATTTAATTAAATTTACTAAATCCCACCCAAATTAAATCCATGCCAAACAGCTCCTAAATGCGACTGAAATCTTGTTTGAACCCACTAAGAAAAGTCATATCGGGCGGGTCCGACTAAGTTCAATACTCGAACTAAAAATTGGAGGGCAAATTAGGAAATGTGAGTTAGAACCGTTCAGCTTCCTCACAAGGAGGCAGGAGGAGCTTTCATTACACGCCTTACTCCCGTGAGCTCTTCCATTCCTCGAGGCATCTTTTCCTCGTTACAATGGCGGCTTCTTCCACGGTCTTCTCCCTCGCAGGTGAAATTTTTCTTCATTCAAATTTTTATAACATTTCGGCTGCATGCCTGATTTTTAGGGTTTCTATGTTCAACTCCGTTTTCCAATCGCATGTACTGGAAACCCTATTTGATTCATTGTTCTTACTACATTTTCTGTGACTTCGCCCCTTTTGGAAACATTAGTAAGTGGATGTGGAAGCTGGCTTCTTTTTGAGTATACAGAAGCTGATGCCAACTCGTATATTCTTGTACGAAACTGGCTGACAAAGATGCGTTTATATGGCCGAAAATTGCAATTTTTATTTTATTTATTTATTTTAAAAATAAGCGGCCATCTTGGGCTCAAGGGATCAGGGGTGGACCTTGTGTATTGATGAGGGTGGGCACTCAATTGCTCACCCTCAAAATTTTAATAAATTAATTTTCATAGAGGTATTTTAGGTATTTGAGAGAAGGTAACCTTGTTATTTTACCCTAAAGTCTAAAAAAACCCACGGTCCGCCTTTTTTGTGATTTGCTATTGGCATACGATTTGCAAATGAAGTCGTTGGGCACTGGGTGAGGCCGAGGCCGAGGCGATCGCTCCCTCAGTCTCTTTCCGTGTTTATCGGCTGCCTTCTCTCCACACCCGCTGAGCTTTGTTCCCACCATCCCACATCCAGCAGGTGTTGGATTGTCGCCTGCCGCAGCCGGAGCCTGCGAAGTGTGGCGAGGAGCTTTTAAGGTATGACTGCTTTTTTTTTTTTTCAGTGATTATAAATATTCTTATTTTTACTATTTTGATATCTATATCATTTTAAAAATATATAACTCTTAATGTTAGAGATGAGAAGCAAATTTGCTATGGAGAGAAGGCAGCCGATGTTAGAGATGAGATGTTTTGTGATTTTTCAATTTTGTGAAAAATCAATAATTGCTTATCTCGAAAATGCAATTTTTTGTAATTTTTCACTTTTGTGATGTTTCATTTCAATGTTAGAGATGAGATGTTTTGATATCTATATCATTTTAGAAATTAGTATGTAGTTAAATTATTATTATTCTATTAGTGTCATATATAAATTGTTTGATTGAAATAAATTAAATCTTTGAGAATTCTATTAATGTCTTAATGCTCATTATATTTAGCATACAATAGATGAATCGATATTTGAAGAGAAATGAACATGTTGAGGTTGATGTTGATAATTTTCCTGTCGACCTTAGGCTTTGACCTTCAATATGGATTTATGATATAAATGAGAGTGATAGTGTTCCTATAACATATTTGGTGAATAGACCTTATCAACCTAAAAATTATAATTTCCCACAAACAATAATGAGAAATATTAATCGTAGGTTTTAATTCTAAATTATTTGAATAATATCCAAAATGATATAAGTATAGTACACACAAAAATATTGCGTTTTATTTATAATATCACCTATTTAATCCTCAGGAACAGACAAGCATAAGTCAAGGCGGTGGTGATTCATTCGTTGAAAGATTTAAAAACTGGAATGAAAGATAAAAATTATTATCTCATATTAGGAAACATAGTAGTGCGCACAACAAAGCAAAAAATGTAAATGTTTAATAAATTTTAAATTATAGTGTTTCTTTTTTATGGCTCTTAAAGATGATAAAAATAAAAAAAAGTATCAGATCCTATTGATTACTGTTGTTGATTATGTAAATTTCTTTTAAAACAAGATTTATCATTTCATGATCACGATGAGACACTTGATTCGAATAATCAAGGTAATTATTTAGAGTTATTTCATTTTCTTACTGATTATAATGAATAAATTAAGAATATAAATTTTGAAAATGCTAGTACAAAATTGAAGTTGATATCACCTAAAGTTCATAAAAAAATTTGTTGTGTAATGTCGGCTGAAACATTGATTTGTATAATTAATTTTATATTGATAATTCTTTTTTGATCATTCTAATAGATGAAACTCATGATATAACAACGAAGGAGCAGTTAGCAGTGGTTGTGAGATATGTGGATATAAAATAATAGATTATTGAAATATTTATTGATATTATATATATTATTTCAACTAGTGCTGTGATACTTAAAATATCAGTTGAAGAAATGCTTGCCAAGCATTCATTGAGTTTATATGAGATATGTGGGTAAGATTATGATGGGGCATCTAATATGCGAGGGAAATTTAATGGTTTAAAGACACTTATTCTTAATGATAATTCTCAAATATTTTATATTCATTGTTTCCCTCATCAACTTCAATTATGCTTGACAGCAGTGGCAAAAAATCATTGGCAAGTTAAATATTCTTTTGAGTTTACTTTCAAAATTATAAATACTCTTAGGGTTTTCTGTAAGGGATCAGATGCTATGAAAACTATTCAACATGAGAAAATATTTTCACAGCTTAAAACTGACAATCTAATACGCGATAGAGATTTAAATTAAGAGATTAATTTATAAAGATCTAGTGATATTTCATGGAGTTCATATTTTTATACTTTAATTAGTCTCATGAGAATGTACGCTTCTGTAATCGAGGTGTTTGAGATTATTAAAAAAGATGTATATGATCAACAATCAGTCAAAGTATGTGCTTTGACAAATGTGATAAAATTTTGATTTTATTTTCATAATACATTTGATGATTGATATCTTGGGGATTACAAATGAGTTATCACAATCATTACAAAGAAAAGACCAATATATTGAAAATACAATAAAATTGGTGCAAATATCTAAATATTGTCTATAAATAGTACGGGAGAGCGATGGAGTGTTTTTGATGTAAAACGTACATGCACGAATGATTCAATTAAGGAAGTTTGCACGTTTAATTTTAGAAGCTACAATAATTATATCTTTTATATTTGGTTTTAAATGACAAAATAAAACACAAAGAGCGGTAAGACAAGTTTAGGCTAAATCACATGCATAGGAGTTAAGATTGCAAACTAGTCAATTAATGTGATGTTGCATACAGGATTGGTTTTCAACCATAAATCCCACTGCTAACAATAAGACTAGTCACTACGAGGAGATCCTTCACTCAACTCTTCTAATTACTAGGCTTTAACGGGGAAGAATTAGCAAGATTGTCGTGAATCAACATATAACCACAAGTAGTAAGTGCACTAGAAAGATAAGAGAGTTTGGAGGGAGAGTTTACCCACAAGATGCAGAGGACACGAAGCTTTGATGTCGCTGATGGCTGTTTTTTTTTTGTAGTGGGACAACAATCGGGGCCTTTTTACAACCCCGAATAGCTCCTAGGAGGGAATGGGAGTTCTTGGACAGCAGTTCGGTTGGATAGATAGCATCAGAGAGGTTCAGGATCCTCTGGACAACGATCTTGGCACTTTGGAAAACTCTGGACAGCAACCCCGCAGTTTCCAAAAAATCTGGACAGCAAATAGAGGCCTTCCGGATGGCGACACAGCATTAGGAACCTGCTGGAACCTTTGGACAGCAGCTGTGGATCTTCAGGACAGCATATCAGAGGTTCTAGGGGAGCCGAAAATTTCTTGGGCAGCAGCTACGAACTTTCAGGACAGCAAGCAGGAGATTTTTGGCGAGCAGGACAACTGTTTGGCCTGCTGAAGCCTCCTGGACAACACCTAGGAATTTCAAGAATTGTGGGGAAAACTGTGTGGGAGGGTTTGGGGTTGAGGGGAAAAGAAGGGAAATCAGGACTCTAAATTTTAATTCAGATTTTTGATTGGTTTTGGGAAGGAGTTAATTTGAAAATTCAAATTTATTCCTTAATGGAGGGAGGGCGGTAATTAGGAGAGGATTTGGGCTGATTTAGTGGGGGATTTGGGGGCTTTATTTGGGGAGAAATTAAGGGGAATGGGGCCGGCCATATGGGGATGGGAGAGCGGGGAAGTTATGTTAAGTATGTGGGCCCCAATGAAATCAATTAGTGATTTAATCAAATTTGAATTATATTTCAGATTTAATTCAATTAGGAAAATTTTCTAATTTAAGTTTGAGCTTGAGGAAAGTATTTGAATCCCAATATTTGATTGAGATCCAATTTGGAAACTTTCCTAATTAACTAGAACTCATTTTAGGCAGGGAAATAACCACCTTGGGAATTTCGAATTTCAAAATTTGTTGGAACGAAGAGGGGGCGGCGGCTAGAATAGTGGAGAGAATAGGTAAGAGGTGGAGGCCGGCGACTGCTGGGGTGGTGGCCGGCGGTTGGAGAGGCTAAGGAGACGGATGGTTAGGGGTTTTGAGGGAATACCTTGGAGAAGGCCGGCGGCTCAAGGTGGTGGCGATGACCCAAGGAGAGGAAGGGGGTGGGTGGCTTTGACCTGCGGCTAGAAGGCTTGAAGTGGCTGGCGGGTGGGGAATTTGGGGAGGTGGAGCTGGTGGGTGTAGGGAGATGGGGAAGAAGAAAATACTACGAATACTAACCGCGAGTCCCGGAATCCACCGGCTGCTGACGGGTGATGCGTGGCCCTCTCCTAGGGTTTCTCCTCTTAAGAACTCACAAAGAGATCCATAAGAAAATTGAAATTTATTTCATAATCATCATCCCCTCTCCAAGAGGAGGGAGAAGGCTTAAATAGCCAAATACATGAAGGAAAATAAAAAAATATAATTGCCCTAGGGCAAACATAAGACAAAGCCCTCAAGTGAGGGTAGAAAGGGAAAAAGAACAATAATAAATTAAATACATAAAATATATCAAAATAAATAGACACGATCGTAACCGTTGATCTTCGATGTCCTCATCATTCTCCCCGGGTAGGAAAAAACTCGACTCCGTTGAGTGGATGTCTCAAGAATTCTCGGGCATCTGGGTCGATCTGCCATAGCTCCTCGCGCTCTGACCATGTATCCTTTGACTCTGGTTTACTTCTCCACCTTATCAGATATCTTCTTCGTCTACCCTCTTTTGTAGGGATAATGTCATCACTCAGAATCATGTCATCCTTCTCCACTATAGGTATTTTGGGAATATTTTGGGAGTGGAGGTAGGCTTGGGGTTCTCACAAGGTGGGGTCATATAAGGCTTAATTTGAAATGTATG